ATATTTGTTCCAACTGTGCTTGTGTTTAGTAGCACTATGACTTGCGGTCAGGTTGGTAGTCACTTGACAAGGAAATGCCATTGGCTTCAACAGCTCTCGGTATAAAACAGCCGTCTTTACTTTTATAAGTCGTCTGTTCTCTCACAAGATTTTAGCAAAGAATGTCCACTAGAAACTGAAGCTGAAACCACACATATTGTGTTGGCTGTGCCAAAAGGTATCAGAGCATCGTCAGCGCAAAAGATGAAACTTCAATATGCAAAGTGCAAGCCTTAAATATTGCTGGTGCAAGATGCAAAAACCGTCTATCATGCCATTGGGCATCAACTTCTATTACATCGTCGAGCTAATGTTTTTGTTCATGGTTAAAATGGCTGTGGATGCATGCGGGGAAGTGTTGAAACGAAATTGAAGGAGGTTACCTGAAAAGACGGGCATGTCCATACAATAAAGCGAACAGCCGTAATTAGTTCGGCAGTCCTCTCTGCAGTAGCCCTGGGCACTCATTTTTACGGCAAATTTCTGCCCTTTGCCCATCAGACTGTTCTCCGCAAGCAAGCATGAACCCTCCCTTACCGCTCCCTCTCCGCCACCAAAGAGTCTCACAGATATTGTCTGACCCTCCTCCGATCTTAAATTGTATGTCTGAGGTTCGAACTTCACTTTTCCTGCACCCGACTTTTCATATACGATGCTTCGATCATGCCCATTTTCTGTCTGTACGAGACCATCAGCGGCTACCAATCGGCTACTCAGGAGTACGAATTGACCCTCAGGAGTAATTTCTACATTCATTGATCCTCTAAATGTATCCTCGGTGGAGCTCAATCGTCGAAGACTTCCACGGATTGCAAGGCGACCATAATTTGAGGCGTCAAGAGTAAAGGTGAAATTGAAGGGTGCAGTGAAGCCCGAAGTTAATGAGAAGATATTGAATGCGCGAGATGTTAACCTATCACCGTCTTGACTGCGGGGAACCGCGAGAAAGGAATTGAGGATGCTGAAAATGGGTGTGATTAAGTGGATGGAAGGGAAGTTTTGGGGCTCTTCGTGAATACCGCTTCGGGCGAGAATGGTTTCATCTCCGCGCACCTCAGTGTCGAGGAAAATCGAGGCGGACACCGATTTTCCGTCTGCTGTTCCAAAATTCATGAGTAACTCTCCATCCAGATAGATGCGTCGCGGCTTTTCAGGAGCTGATAACGCAAATTTTCGTAAGATTATTCAATACTTTTGAGAAATCATAGCCTACTTTCTTTCCTACATTGTGGCTTTAATTCTCTAAAGCTCGATTCTTCTTTTGTATAATTAATATTCGCTACTATATTGCATTTATTTGGGATCTGTCAATTCAAAGTTGACAGTTTCAGTTTTGCCCCTTTTCTTAAACGCCTCTAAGATGACAACCAAAACGTATTGACATGCGATGATTTAATAAAGTAGGAGAATGTCTTGCAATAAATAAACTCACCTACTGACCAGCATCCCTCCTCTCCGCCTCCATAATAGTTTGGTTGACACACACAGCAGCTCTGCCCATCGAAATAAAAGCAATCTGCCATTGGACTTGCACAGTTACTGCTGCTGCAGCGCTCAAACCGTTGCTCGAGGTCCGCTGTTTGCCTAGTATCGCCTAGGAGAACAGTGAATAAAATGGCCTCGCTCCATAGCTTTGGAAGATGCATTTAATGGCAATTTGCAAATGTTTATTTTATTTTGCTTTTTTACTTGTCGATGCACATCAACTCAAAGAGTTTTTTCAGTTGAAAGCGGTCAAGCAAGTTTTCACAAGTATTTTGCTACTACAGTTAGGCAGAGTGAAACAGTTTGTTGATAAGGCGTAACCCATAAACAGTACGGGGTTAGTACGCTTACCGTACTTTTCGTCGAAGGTGGATTTGGTTTGGGGGGTTGAGTAGTCAGTAGTATGGAGTGCGTGGCTCCTGGTCACTGCAGAGCTGGATGGGAAGGCCGTCGTGGGGGCCTCACTAGCAGACGGCATTTTCCCAGTGGTCACAGTCATATTTAGGCAATTTTTCGCACTCGTCTCCAAAAAACTTTCTGTGGTCATGCGGATTTTGGACTGCGCCGCAACATCGACGTCAATTGGGCCCTCGTGCAGTGGGAAAAGCCATTCACCAGGAACCGCGATATTCGACTCTCTATTGATGGGGTAAAGGGAGAGACAACCACACATACTTCTACTAAGTATAGAGAGTAAGCGAAAGGTGCTTTTCACTCTTGATTCCCCGGTCTATACGGAAACTGCAACTCAAAAGGGTCATTTTGTTCGTGTTCTTAAGTATTGGCCTTCACCTTCTTCCCAAAATTGGCTAACTTAATGGCTGCTGATTTGAGTCCCAAAAGTAAACTTCGACTAGGTCTCCACAAAGTGGCTGGTCCCACAGTTTTTTGACACTGTCCTGAAACCAATACTCCACCTCTCAACGCTATTAAAGGTTAGTTCAGGGCAAGTCACAAATCACAAACAATTAGAAATTCCCTATTTAAATGACATGACTAATTGCTTTACAATCTTGGCTTTCCAACCGTTGCTACAGCTTCGACGTCATCACCTCTCAAATGATAGGAAATGACATCCAGCATGATCCCAACGAATAATAAGCATGGATGAGGGGAAACCACGCACACTTCAAGCCATCACAGTTTGTTGTTCAACCGACAGTCAGTCCGAGTATCACTCAAAAAAGTATTTATTTGGGCAGTTTCGACACCGATCACTGTGCTTGGTGTTGTCGGATGAGGTTGACAGAGTAAACCATTTTTTGCCAAACGGCGCCATTTCTTCAAAACATATCAGCAAATGAATCGAGTATTTGTGGGTTGGATGGCTGTTGGAATGGTAAAAAAAGCATACAAAGGAAATTTGTTTGTCATAAAAGGGAGATGCCGACTCAACTACCGAACAGTTTCGGGTTCGTTCACCCTGAGAAAGTGAGACCAGTGAACAAAAAAGTGACAA